TTTTTTTTTTTGTATTTTAGGGAAGGCTCTACAGGGTATTCAGGGTCTCACTACTAGATCTGACTTGTAGTGATCCTCCTATTTACAGCCTTCCAAGAGCTGGGATTACAGGTGCGCCCCACCATACCCAGTCTTGAAAATGTTTTTTTGTTTATTGTTTTTTTCTTTTTCATTTCTTATAACATTTATGTTGTTTTGTTTTGTTAACCAATTTTGCAGGTTTACATCCAGCAACCTAAACAACTAATTTGAAGATAACATCATACAATACATTAGCCATTGTTGAATTCCTATTATTTTGTTCAATGAATTTTTTTTTTTTTTTTTTTGGTGCGGAACCAGGGATTGTACTCAGGCCCTTGTGCGTGCCAGGCAAGCACATTCTACTGAACTTATTCTATTGAACTGTTTCCCTGGCCCCAAAATTTTGTATTGTTTCTATGCCTTTTTTAAATTGTTGTTGCTTTACTATTTTGTATTCTTAAATAAATAAATAAATAAATAGAGTTAGATCACGAGGTTACCTAAAATTTTCCGTTTTGAATGTTCTCTCAGTTTATCTGGCTTCTGATTGCATAGGCATTTAAAAATGATTTTCTCTCTTTCACTGCTCATCGCTAACACATTGCTGAGTGTTGTCTCTCCTTCCAGAAAATATCGTTTAATCTTATCTACTTTCTCCCAAATATGCTGTTACCACTCTGGCTAGAACCACAATATGCTTCCTATCCTGTTTTCGACAGGTTTCTACTTAGTCTTTTGCATTTGCTCCTCTCGCTACTTTGATGTTTCCAACATAGCCTGAGTTGCTGGTCTCCGGAAAGCCTTCAGTCACTTCTACATCCAGTTTTTACCATGTTCTAAAAGGCGCTCCTGATAGAATGCAGCTCATGGATCCTAACTCAGTCATCTCTTCTTCTCAGCTGCAGTCACACTGGCTACCTGTTAGTTGTTTCCCCGCTAGAGCAAGAATTTTGTAAGTTTATATGGTCAGCATTCGGCAAGTGTGATTGCCTTATGTCTCTGGATTGTTTAGAACTGGAACAGGTTGCTGTCTCTGTTATTTTTCACTCATCGCTGGGATAAAATACTAGATACCGAGAATTAAGGAAGGAAAGGTTTATTTATCTCACAGCTTGTAGAAGTTTTAGTCCACACTTGGCTGGCTCCAAGGCAGAGTGGCACATGGCAGAAAGCAGCAGTTCTTGGTGGCAGAAAACTGCAAGAGCGAAAAGGGAGGAGTGGTGGCAGCAGCAGCAGCAGAGGCAGAGGCAAGCCTCTCTGCCTGCCTTATGCCACACCCAGGCTAACTGCTCAAGGGCGGGGGTAGCCCTCACACCTGTAATCCCAGCACTGGATCATGAGTTAATCACAACTCTAGAAGCCACCCCATGACTGCATGAGGCTTTGGGGGGACAGCTAGACACAAACCATAGCATTAAAAGTCTGCCACAAGAGGGATAACAACTGTCTCAGGTACTCTTTTCTCATTGCTGGGACAAAAACCAGACACTCAAAATGAAGGAAGGAAAGGTTTATTTAGCTCACAGTTACTGGAGAGTTCAGTCCATTCTTAGCTGGTTCCAAGGCAGAGCAGCTCAGGGCAGAGAATAACCTTTCCTGGTGGTGACAAAGAGCAAGAGAGTTGAACAAGAGAGCTCCAGCACCCTGCTTCTTTGCCCTCCTTACATTGTAATGCAAATGGCCTGCCCCAGGGCAGGTGCAGCATCCACACCCACAAGAATCAATCAGAAACTCCACAAGCCATCCTGCGGCTGCCTGAGGCTTTGGGGGACACCTATACACAAACCATAACAGCAACCTACCATTCTCCAAGTGTTTTTGACAACAGATAATTGCAAAGGAAAGCAGACAATAAAGATCAGGACAGAGACAACACCATGGGAAAAGAGAAGGACATCAAATTCTGAGTTTTAAAAATGCTTGTGCTGTAGCATCTGTGAAAAGGAACAGAAAATGGAGCATCAAGGCTGGTTTGGGCAGTGGATTGCCCCTCATGGTTCAGAGAGGGACTGAAAGTAAGGGGAGCTTGAGCCCATGACTCCGTGAACTCTGAGGCTGCTCCAGGTACACTGGGGTGGTTGTCTCTGATGGGGACTGAAAGGAAACTGACTATCATGTCACATATTTACTACTTCAGTATGTATAAAAAAAATTCCAGGCAAAATTCAGGTCCATTAATACGTTCTACTTTATCAAACAGTCTGACCATTTAAAGAATATTTCTTTGAGGCTACCACTGGCTCAGATTATTGAACAGTACTTTAATTTTTTAAGAGAAAAATGAAGCAAATTCTCTTTTTATAGAGTTCTGAAAATAAGAAAAATCTCACTATTACATTAATACAAATAGATCACTTCAAGGTTGAAGTTTGTATATTTTGAATAGACAGTTCTTTTAAACTGTAAGAGAAACTGTTATAACCTGACCAAAGCGCCGCCATTCTGTTCTGTATGCGTAGTCTTACCATGTCAGCTGCTGTAAAATGTGTGCGTATTTCATAGAACTTCTGTTTCTGCAAGCCCTCACCCCACCCTTGAGTTCCAAAAATGTCCACTGCTGTTCCTACACCCTTAAATTCCAAGAACCTCTCCAGACCCCTAACCATATGTAGTATCAACAGCTGCCATATCTCCTTGAAGTCCCTGAGTTGTACCCAGCCTGCTTTGTGGTTTTAAGCTTTATAAACTCCACTCTCCCCCACTTTGGCACGCACTTAGGCACTTTGTGCTGGGTGTTGCCGCTGGGTACCAGCTAAAATAAAGCACTTTTTAAACTTTTGAGCCTGCCTCATCTTTGAGTTACAACAGAAACAGACACTTCTGAGGGTATCTTGTTATCTTCATCTTTAAACTGGAGCTAGGAGTGTCTTGACATAGCCCCCAAGATAGCAAACTCTTGGATGCCTACATCTTTGGATGAAAAGATATGCAGTAAAACAACAATTTCAATGCATTATAAATATAATATAATAGTGCATATCTTTTCCCTTATAAATACTTTTCCTGGTAGAGAGCAGGTTGGAAAAACTGGACTATAGAATACATTTCCATCCTTCAAAAGGGCCTGGGGATCGAACAGCCAGCCCCTGAGCCTGCTTGCAGGTGCTTTAATCTACTAAGCTCTTTGGCCAGCTCTTAAAACTATTATAAAAATATAAGCAAAATGTCATTTTTTGCCTTGGTAGAAAAACTCACATTTAATATTACTCCATAGCAATATGTGGAGATCAGTCCAGTGAGCTTGTCAACTGAGATATCATCACACAAGCCTGCTTTTATTTGTGGCAGTGGTAGAACCTTTAACACTCATCATGAAAAGCTGTCCTAGGAGGAAAAGCTAGCTGTCCTAGCCTTCTACCCACACCAGATCTGATTCTCTGAGTCATCTTGGGAAAATGAAATCCTCCATGCTGCCGGCACCCACCTCAGACCCCCAGCCCTGTCCTCAACTTGCTCCACTTCACCATTTGTGGACTTGTTGATTTCCTTCAGCACTGAGACTCTTCCTACTTGTTGTAGAGCCTTGTGATTTTTGTTACAGTCTCCTGTATTGCACTTCTGCAGATTTCACATAACAGATTTCTCAGCTCCTTGCAACTTTGTCCTTCTATTAACTTCTCAGTGAAGTCTACCTTGATGTCTCCTTTTTGATGTGTTAGATAATGCCCTTGTTAACTTGTGAGGTCTGATTGCAAGAGTGTTATGGACAGCTAAGTTGGTTAGAAATTAGTAGGTAGTCAGAAGAATTGGACCCTTGAAAGAGACACACCAGAATTGTGACTGGAGACCAGATAGCCTAACCCTAACCTATAGATAAACAGCAGTTTAAGATTAAACTGTAATTAACACCACCTGGTCCAGTGAGCTGAGACAACATACTACAGTCATTGGTGGGTGATCAGAAGATGCTGGCTCATACCTCCATCCCTTTCTAGGAATGCATTTGTTCTTTCTGCATTAGAAGTTATAGATAAGCTAAGAAACCCTCATTCCATACTTTGATTCTCTGTTGGACCTCTATTAGCTAAGTAACTATACTTGTAGCCCTCTAGGTTGATTGCATGGTATGTAAAATATCCTTGATAAAGAGACTGGGTGGAACCTTCCATTTGGGATCCCTCCTGCTTCTCAGGAGTTTTCTCAGTAAATCTTTCTCACTCTTACACTGAGAGTTTATATTGAATTTTAAAATAAAGGTTAAAATACACAGATGCTTGTCAGGTTTTACCCAACAATAGCTGTCAAAATTAATTTTTTTATATTGAAATATTGTGACTGTCTTACTTTTCTATCATTTCCAGAAATTTATTCAAAACACCTATCAGAATTAAATTATTAGTGCATTAGAGTATTCCAAGTTTACCGAAACATCTGTTACTTATTCAGTGATGGATGTGATATGTTGTTTTCCTCCTGAAAGTAAAAGTAAGAAGAGGACTTGAGTGTAGATCATTTATTTCAGGAAACAGGAAGGAGAGATCAGAGAGATGGTGAAAGAAAAGAAGAAAAACTCTAACTTAAGGGTTACTAAGGCTTCTCTAGGAGAAAGTGGAAGGCTGATTTCCGGGGGACACCATGAGAGAACTGGAACACCTTGAAGAGCTCCCTGACTGGAGGCTGGAATACAGCAGTATGGGTCGAGTGGCTCTCATCTTTCCGTGTTGATCTTCGCTTTTGGATCCATCTACCCTGCACTTCCCACTGGGCTTGTTTACAATTCAAGCTGGCTCCTGGGACTCCAGGGAGGATGGGCGTAGGGACAGTGTCAGGTTGCTGGTGGTGTGCTTGAGGGTAGATGCTGCTGGTGGGAGAATTCTACTAGCTGAACATTCTGGGAATTCTGAATCTTTTCTTTGCTTGAAAAAGTGGCAAAAGTCATTTAGTACATAGTTCAATTCCAAAGTGCCATCTTCTTTTTTGTCTCATTTTCTTAATCCCAGATCTAGGAGGTTTCAGAGGACACCTGACTGCATGGTGTGCTGTATTCTGCAACAGCAAATTCATCTGGAAGAGAGTAATTATTACTAGAAACGGTCTCACAGCACTGCTCAAGAAGAAAGCTTCTTTATTTTCTGTTTAGAAAGAAATTCTCCAACATCTGTGACAATATAAGCATTTACTTACTTGATAAATTCCACCTCTATTTCTATTCCTGTCACATTGCATGCATATGCGTGCCACTGTTCTTTAATGTTTCAGGCACACGATGCATGTTAAAATCTGAGATTAGTGCATGGTGCATGTTGAAACCTGAGATTAGCATTTCATTTTGTAAAGTAGAAAATCTTTATTATTTCAATAGTTAGAGGGATAGTAAAAACTTAATAATCATTCAGGCTTATGGAAAGAAAGATGCTTACTGAATGTTTGCATACTTGAAGTTTATAAATCAGTATTTGTAGAGAAACACTTCCCGTTTGTGACTGAACTATTTATCAATGCAGTTTTGTGAAAATAGTATCTTTTTGTTTATTAAAAGTCTATATATCATTTATTTCATGTTATAATATGACAAAATTAATCAATTTGTCATTTTCATATTTTGATTGTTATTAGACCTTTTTTTTTTTTTTTTTGGCTGGCTCAGGCTGCCTTAAGGGTGGGTCTGGTAAGGCACATGGAGCTGGTGATCAAATTGAGGTCCCCTGAGCCTGACTGGGTTTGCCAGAGCAGGTGCTTAAACAACTGAACTAACCCTCAAGCTCCCTAGACCTATATTTTAATTTATGAGTGTGCATATTTTTAATCTAAGGAATACAAAGGAGGATCAGTGAGCTTCAGTTTAGTGCCAAAAGACCCAATTTAGAGGTCTTAGTCTGCCATTTGTTTTGTGTTATTAGTAAAAATTTACATTTTCTGAACAAAAGCAATAACATAATAAAAACCTGGTTTGAAAAAAGCAGAAAACCAAAATTGCATGACAAAGTAGCTGCAATTCTCTATTCCTTATTATTTGAAAATGCTAGAGTATTTGACAAATAGTGATAAATAGGTGATAGCTCACTAGATAAATAGGTACGTATCCAACACTAAGTCTTTTGAACAATGAAAGACCAGAATAAATCACCTCAGCTAGCAGTCAGCTAGCCAGTCTCCAACAGGGTATTGGCTACCTGTAAGCCCCTGGAGTGGGCTATCCTAGGTCACTGAACCAGTGGATCTGTCAGTTGGCCACAGACAGAAGCGATTTATACAGAAAATAGCTGAGCCACTGTGAACCAGGCGCCAGAAGCCAGCAACCTGACTCACCATCAAACTGCAAGGAGTAATACACCTATGCATTATCAGAATATCTCCCCAAATTCTCTAATGCATCTCTTATTTTCTTTTGAAATAGAAGTAGTTTGCGTCCTCTCATTCACCCTAGTGTATAAACTACATGTCAATATTCGCAGCCAGTTGCTCCGTTTTGCATGCATCTATCATTTATTTGGGAAAAAGAAACTACTTCACATTTATTCTCTGGTGATTTAAACCTACATCTTAGTGAAAAGATAATAGGAAAATTCTTGAAGTTGTTCTCTTATAAACAGAATAAATCTCAAGATCTGTTTGCTACTGAACTCAGGAATTTTGTAGTAAGTGGGATGAAATGTTACAAAACATGAAATAAACAAAGAAAATTTCAAAAACAGGAATTATCGCATTAGTAGAGAAAACGAAAATCATCCGTGTCTAATTAAATGTGCACTGTGCCTAGCCCGAAAGCTAAGTGAAATTCTTACCAGTTTGATAATAATCATAGATCTGAATGGATGCAGGCTTGTTGTTTGATACAAGTGCGTCTTGTTCAATGGAAAATGAGAACTGGATTTTCTCTTGAGTAACCTGAGAATAAATATTATCATTATCAGATTAGTATTATCAGTACTATCATGCATATTAAATGTATTCCATCAATTTTTTTCTATATCAAATATTTGGAATTATTTCAACAATGATCATTTGGCACTATTTTTTATAAGAAAACACCAGCAAATAATAAAGTTAAACAAAGAAAGCTACACTGTGCCTCAGGCACACAAAACATAGAAACTGAATTACTATAGTAAACTTACATTCTGTAGATAGAAAAAGACGTGGGTGGCTTTAATTTCTGCTCGCTGCACTTTGTCACTTTCTTGAAGCTAAAAACAAGGAGGAAAAGATGCATTGCAAATTTAGGGATCTAGTATTAACAAAACCTTAGCTAATTATTATCCTTCACCTTTTGGAGAACAGCAATTCTAATAGTGGTGAGGAGATATTTCACTGGAGATCCATATACGTATATATTTAGGCACAGGGTCTCCCTACACATCTCAGACTTACAGTGATCCTCCTATCTCTGCCTCCCAAGCACTACGATTACAGCGTGTGCCACCATGCCTGATTTGGAGGTGGCCCGGTGTGCCCGTGGACCCAGGCACAGCTTGTGGTATCGGGGATCGAACTTGGGTCCTTGAGCTTGTCAGGCAGGCTCTTAGACTGCTGAGCTATCTCCCCATGCCTCATTGCAGTTTTAATATGCATTCCTCTAGTGATTAGAGATCTTGAGCATTTTTTCACAAATATGTTGACCATTTTTCCTTTTATTTTATTGATTGTTCCCTTGGCTGTGCAGGTTCTTAGCTTGATGCAGTCTTATTAGTCCACTTTTGCTTCTATTTCTTTTATGTTGTGTTTCTTGTACAAGCAATATTTGTCCAGCGTTCCTTTTAGTTTTCTTCTACACACTTTGAATGTTTTATCCATTTCAATATGATTTTTTCATTATTGGTATATCTTTGTAACATGATAATTGTATACATCTTGGGATTGTACGTAAACATATAGCATCTTGACTGTTTTCACTTCCTCCATCTTTCCCATCCATCTTCCTTTCCCAACTTCAAAGTCTACCTCCCGAATTCTTAATGCCACTCTTTTATTCTTTAACTTATATTTTGACTCCTTATCTCCGAAAAACAATGGGATAGTTATCTTCCTGTCCTTTGTTGTCTGGTTAATTTCACTTACAATTATGGTCTCCAGAGCCAGGCTTGTTCCTACATATCACGCAAATTTGTCCTTTATGGCTGAAAATAAGGGTCCCATTTCGTTTCATTGGATGTGAATATCTACTTTTCTTTCTTTCTTTTTTTTCCCTTTATTCTTTTGATACAGCGTCTCGCTACGCAGTTCTGACTCATCATGATTCTCTTGTGTCAGACTCTCCAGCACTGGGATTACAGCAGTGCACCACCACACCGGGTTTTGGGCACCTCGGAGCACCGGCGGATCCCAGGTCAGCAGGGAACGTGGTACTGGATCAGCGTCAGGACCTTGCTCTTGCCAGGCAGGCTCTTACACTGCAGAGCTACCTCCTCAGCCCAAAGATCTACTTTCTCAGTACTATATTTTGTATTTCTTTTCTTTTTACATACTAAAGATTGAACCCAGAGCCTTCACACTGAGCTCTATCCCAGCTCTTTTTATTTTTTATTTGCACACAGAGTCTCAAAAAATCACAAATAGTCCAAGTCGGGCTCAAACTTGAAATCCTGGAATAATATCCTATGATATACAAATGTGAGTAAAATTGTATTCCTTAAGACAAGAAAATGTGTTTTCTATTTTTATGCAATTTATGGCCATTTCATAGATCAGAGCCTAATGTATTGTGGCTCGTCTGAAGTTATTTGCATTAACAACATTTCATTCTTTACCTCCTGAACTGATGACCTGTCAGGCACGTATCCTGAAAGCATCTTCACGTCAATGATTGCCATGTTGGAAGAGTCACGTTTGCCAGAATAACTTTGTAAAGAAAAGGGCAAGATTTAAAATTCAGGCAAATGTTAATCATTATTTAAGAAAAAAATTTGCAACAAAAATGTATTTGCATAGAAAAAAGATTATTCTACTACCTTTTGTAAGATATATTGTTCTGAGATTGAAATATTGTCATAAGCTGCAATTAAGGTGTGCCAAAATGAAACAACACATATTTTAATCCATTTGCAAATAGAAAGAGTTGAACCTGATTTAATCTCATTTGGCAATTTTGGTTTTCAAAATTTAGGTACTATAATATGCTGATTTGTAAATTAGAAACTTAAGAGAAACATACCATTTAAAAAGGAATTTATATAAATTTTTCTTACAATTTCTTTTGCTGTCCCCTATTTGGTATATTTTGAAGCTACATTTATTCTTCCATCTGGAATTATCTTATACAATCTAGGCAACTTGAACAAGATGAAATGTAATTCTCTTGAGAATTTAAAGAAGATAATTCATAAAATGATTGAGCTATGTTTTCTTTCTTTCTTCCTTTTTTTTTTTTTTTTGAGGAACCGGGATTGAACTCAGGCCCTTGCGCTTGCCAGGCAAGCACTTATTCTACTGAGCCATCTGCCGGGTCCTATGTTTTCAACAGAGGCTTACACATAATGCTTTCTGGGTGCAGCTAAGTTTAAAAAAGAAGGTTATTACCTGGCTGAAACAACAAGGTCAAACTTTTTATCAAACAGTCCTCTGCAGACCTCATTGGCTGTATTCACAGAAAGGGAGAATCCAGATGATTTCTTCGGGAGTAGGATATTATATCTCAGGGTTGTCTTGAATAAATCATAGAATAAGTTACTTAATAACTAAGATATTACTTTATAGTTATTATCTCCTTACTAAAGTTTTAAATTAAATTAAGTCATTCTTCTGTCTCTGATTCCTCTTTTCTATACCATTAGCACCTCTTTTTATAAATTTATTGACTTCATTTTATATGCTGTCTGTTTTCTTAATGTAATAATTCCCTCAGTGTTTTTAGCACCATAAAAAGTACGTGCTATGTTCAGCCTACATGTTAAACAGGACAAAAATAAGGTAAAAAAAAAAAACTTGTCAAAGCTTATAGAGTTCATGACTATAGGTTCTCTTTTGGTGAAGAATTGAAATAATCTGATAGCAGCCTCAGGAAACCCATTTCTTTAGTACTAGGGACTGAATTTAAGGCCTTCACATCGACATTTGCATGGCTCCAATGTAACATTTTAACCTCTTTCAGGTACAATGCAGAGCAAGAAAGCTCCTTTAGTGAAGAAATCTGGCTGTCCACAATTATAATAATCAAATGCAGCATCATTAAGGGCTGGGGATATAGCTGAGCGGTAGATAACTTGCCCAGCAGATGTGAGGCCTGGATTTGAGCCTCAACATCTAAAAAGTAAAAAACAAAACTAAAAGGAGGCAAAACAGAAACATAACATCACTACGCTGCTGGTTTTTTTTTTTTTTTTGGTACTGGCAATCAAACTTACAACCTCAAACACTCCAAGCAGACATTATACCATTAAGCTATATCCCCAGCTTGTGATACACTTCTGGATGTAAAAGGATATAGATCTGTAACTTTTAGTTTACAAAAGACACGCAAAAGATGCAACAAATTTAATGAAACCAAAAAGAAAACAATCTGAAAAATCCAGACATTCTACAACACTACTTCTCTGGTGTTTGAAAAAGCTAATGTTACAAGAAAAACTGCAAACTTGGTATATAAAATTGAAGGGGAATTAACAAGTATGATAGACAATTGTAAAGCAATTTAAATGAATGCTGGTTTGGGAAAAAAAGACAATGTACATTGGAGATAATTACTTTATATTACAAACCATTATTATTTGGGCTAGTGACAATGGTATTATAGTTATAAGATGGAGTGTTTTGGAGATGCTGTATGATTTCCTTATGATAACTCTAATTTACTTAAATTTTTTTTGTGTGTGTGGTACAGGAGATCAAATTCGAGACCTTGAGCTTGCTAGACAGACACTAAAATTCAACAACAACAAAAAAAAAAAAAAGAAAAGAAAAAAGCCCAAACTTACCTGTACATAAACGTAGCCATTGCCACTCACTTGCACAGTAAACTGTCCTGAAGGCTCTGGCATCAACATTTGTAGGGGAACCAGGCGATTCTCATCATTCACCAGGAAGGACCTATTAAACGCGTTGTCAGAGAAGATCTGAACAGAGTTTTGTCTGTTTTTAGAAAACGTGAGTGTCTGGAATAGTGTTAGAGCTTGGAGAGCCACAGCAGTGTCCTGAATAAGAGCAACAGAAATGGTATCAGAGTGTGTCCTAGGATTTTGAAATCACAGTTAAATATAAATGTTACCCATTGAAAGATAACTGAAAAAAATAAAAAAGAAAGATAACTGAACATGCTATCCATTTTCATGCATTTTTTATTATTTTGTGAACTATATTTTATCTTAAAATGAGTTCCTAGAGAAAATTTCTGTTTGACTCTTTCATTCAGATAAAAACATCATCATATAAAATAAAAATGTAAGAAGAGGTAGGAAATTTAAAAATGCTTATTGAGTCAGGCTTTGTTCTCACAGATATTTAAATATATGAGACAAAACAATCTGTGGAAAAACAAAAGGCTTAAAGACAAGAAAATAGTTTTAGCTGAATTTTCCAGTAAGAGCAGTATTTTAAACAATTGGCTAAATAAATTACATCTATGACACTGAGATATCCAGTTGGCCATTTAAAAATATTAGGCTGACAGAGGAAAGTGATCAATGATGTAGCATGTGCCTAAGGAGAGTCACGTGGAGAGAAAACATTCTCTCAGGCTTTCATAGAGAGCAAATTGGTCAAGCAATGGCCGTGACTCATCCACATAGCTGACACTGACAAAAAATCTACAAACTGCTGTGCATGGTTTTGGGGTAAATCCTGAGGGGATTTGACTGACGTTGACAGATACAAAAGCTACATTTCTTGTTATATAGGTCTTGCTTTATCTTGGTCTTAACCATCCAGCAGAAAAGTATGAAAATGAGGTATAAAAAATAAAGCCATATTAATATGCTGAGCTGCAAAAGGCTCAAGTCAACAATTTCTGACATTGCCCATCATGCAAATAACCCAATACTATTATGAACTACTGGACTATATTGGATTACTTTGCTAAATTCATGCACCCACATTATATGAATGGCAATGGAATACCCATCTCTGACAAAAGTAAACAAAAAATGGGGATGTAACTGAAGGACCATTTTGTAGTGAAAAAAAGTATATCTGTATATACAAAATAGCATAGATATACAGCTACTTTCTCTTAGTTCAATGAGAAGAAAGTTTTGAACTAATAGTGTTTAGACAAGATATCATGTCTGCATCTTGTACTATGAATAACTACTACGAAGACAACATGCAGTGTATTAATTATTGTAACTGCCTTACTAACCTGTTTTGAAACTGTCTCATTGCTACTTCTTTCTCAATAATATTAATGTAAATACTTATAATAAATACTTAATTAAATACTTATAATAAATCTATATCTACATATATCATAGATTGGTGAATAGTTGAAATATAATTAACTAATCCATAAAATAGAAAATATAGATATATATTTGTTTAATATTTTGTTTAAATGCTAGTTTTAGCATAGCATTAAAGTAAAAAGGTTGAAGAGCATTATTAAATTAAATGAAAGTGAGAACACTAGCCTGCGTATTTAGTGTTACACAGATTGAGGAGGATGAACACTTTGGAAAGGTGTTACATGCATGGTTAGAATCTCTACCCAGAAGTCTTATAAGTAATCAAGAAAAAGACTAAGACTCTCATTAGGAAATGTGCAAATGATGTATGACCCAGTGAATCATCACATATGAAGGAAAAAGAATTTTTTCAAAAGAAAAATATATCTCAGGTAATTAGAATCCATGGAGATTTGTTTAGTACCCAGAGTTACTATTTCTATTGCATCAGATCAAAAGACATTATGCAAATTGTTATCAAGTTCTATAGTGAAAGTTATTCTCATATTGATTCTAATAATTCATTGATGCCATTTTTCTGGTGAACATCATACCCTTTAATTTTGCCTAGAAATTTTAGCAAATAGGTGTTTAAATTTCTATTGTAGTAACTGAATAGAAATAATCTTTTGAATAAATACTTGTCAATTGTTACTAAGTAAAAAACTACATCTGTAATAAACCTAAAATATGGCAAATTAAGAAACAATAACAAATTTAATAATGAATTTATTTTTTAATAATAAATTTACAAAAAAAATTTATTTTGTTGTATAAATATAATGTCCACTCAAAAGCCAATACTATCAATGCAAAGTAGGTCATCAACGATCCAGCAGGTAGAAATTGAAAATGATTTCTGTTACCTTTGTGGAGGCGAAGCCGCCACGGGAATTTTGCTGCTTTGCCAACCACTGTACGATCTGTGAAGCATAGGACAGCTCTTCAGAGGTCAGCCCAGGCTTGGAGAGGAGAGCCAGCAAGACGTAGCTGCTCATTTCTATGTCTGCCGAGGAAGCCCAGCGGTCATAGGCGGAGGATGTCCCTCTCAGTTCCCAGTAGACTGAGCCACCTGCGGGAAGACGGAAAGGGCATCGTTGGCGCCTGTGTCAAAGCATGAGATTTATGTGTGCGGACAAACAGGTGACATCTGAGGAAGTGTAAAGCCAAAAGCCAAAACAAAGAACTGCCAAGGGATGATCTGTGGGCCGCCAGTAGCTGTTTTACCTGTTCGACATCTGACTCCAAGAATGGTGAAGGGCACTCACCTACTTTCTTCGCTTTCTTGCTCAGTTCATTGAAGAATAATTCTCGTTTTTCCTTATTGTCTACTAAACTGAAAGTGTAGGTCAAGAGAGCCTGGTCATACGTGGTTAAGTCACTCTTGTGAGATGCACCCTCTATGCACTGAAGACCCTTTTGAACTGCCACAAACTACAAAGGAAAAAAGTAATTTGTGCATATCAGTACATACGTAAAAACATAGGCAGCACTGTGTTAATCACTGAAGAAAAGACAGGAATGAATCTTGTCTTTGCAGAAATGTCCAGAGTTCTAATGAACGTGTTTGTTTAATTTCTGTACTTTCACATAACTTGAAGCACAGAACCATGCACAGTTCTGTGTGATTTGATTTGACAATTGAGAAGGATATTACTCGGCATTATTTTTTGATAGTTATAAATGTAAAGTTGTAGCTCCTGTTATTATATTGATGATAAAAATGTTTTGCATTTAGAAAAGGCAAGTTAGTGGTATCACCATGGGTTACTTACTGAGATTGGGTGACCAGCTTCAAGCAGGGCATTAACAACATAAGCAGTGAGGGAGATCTTACTATCTTCTTCTCCCTGAATAAAGCACAGGAGTAACATGAATTTCATGAGGAAGAGACATCTTTCTTTAGAAATGTAGTGTATTGCCAAAACTCTGATTAAGTGTTTGTTTTGGATTTTAGGGGTGGATACCAGGGATGGAACACAAGGGCACTCAACCACTGAGCTACATTCGTGGCCCTTTCTATTTTGGAGGCAGGAGTCCACTAAGCTGTTTAGGCTGGACTTAAACTTGTAGTTCTCTTCCCTCAGTATGCAGAGGAGCTGGGGCTGAAAGCATGCACCACCATGCTTGACTTCTTTTCATGATTTTTTGGAGGGCGGTGGTGAAGTTTTTCGTATCCTCAAGATGCTATTTATAAAATGATAAAATAGTGAATGAAAATACAAGGGATTTATAGAAGTAGAAACAGAATTTATGAAACTTATGGAACTAAGCAGACATTTAGAATGATAGGAAGCACAGAATGCTTCACAAAGTACTATTCCTCAATCTCATCCTTGGTCTAGACATGATGTGAAAAGTGTCATGGAAAATCCATGCAAAATATAATAATAGAATAATATAGCATGAAATAGAATGGTAGATCCACCAATGGAACAAATAGAAAGAATGAAATCTTGCAAATAGAGAAAGCGACATAACAAAATCCTGAAAAATTAGTAATTACAAACAACATTGATTAAAAGAGACATTATAATTGCTGAATTACTTAGAATATAAAAATAAAATCACAGGTAAGTCACTGAGAAAAATAAAATAAATTCTACCAGATCAATAATATTAGGCAAAATAAAATCATAGTTGCCCTAAAAGTTTAATGAGCCATCAAAAAGGGAAAATACAAGCTGAAAATTATTATGGGAAAAATACTTGTTTTCCAAAGCAATTGACTTGCAAAGAGAAATAGGCAGGGAACAATCCCTTGTGTCATGCTCTATTATTGCTTAGATCTAAAATGCCCCAACTTTCCATATCCCTGGAGGGTGACTGGTCATGTAGAAGTCAGTGCAGCCAGTGCCTGAGTGTGCAGCAAGGAGCTGGGGACCTGCTGGAGGTGGGCTCCCAAGGGGTGAGACCTGAAGGGAGGATTGAGGTCTTAGGATCCTCTTTTCTCATTCTGAGTTTTGGCTGCCATGGATTGAGCACATTTTCCTCTTCCATGCCCTTCTTTTTTATTATTTTAGATTATTAACACACCTGTGTTGCACATGATGCTTATGCGTCTCGTGGGGAGCTGGCACATGGACTCAACACATCAGTACCTTTTGCTCATCTCTTCTGGCCGCCACCCTTCCGTCTCTTGATTTTGCAAGCACTTTTGAGATGTTTTTTCTGTGGTGGATCTATGGACTGAAACCGTGAGCCCAAACAAACCCCTCTTTCTCTAAGTATCAGGTGTTGGGAATCTTGTTCCAGTGATGGGAAAGTGACTGAGGCATCTCCTGTACTTCTGAGTTTTTTTAAAATTCATATTTATATCATTCAGTGTTAGTGACAGTGTTACTAGGTACTCCTCACATAGAACCGTAAATGGCACAACTTTCCTGAAGATCAATCTAGTGACATTATTTTACAATCTTAAAAAAAATCTGTACTTTTGGGTACCTACCCTGTCAATAATGACTGTGAGGCACATATTTTTGTACTAACAGATGTTTACACAACTCTTCATTGAGTTTCTTCAGCGTTATTGAAAGTTTAACAACACATCAAATAATTTAAACTATTTATGGTTTATCCATATGATGAAGTATATGAATCTCTTGATTTTAGGTTTTGAGTTATTCTCATGTTGAGGGGTCCTTAAATATAATATTAGGTTTCAAAATAGAAGTAAAAATCCAGGGCAGGATAATCTCAATTATATTTATATATTATTGGAAAAAATACCAAAGGAAAATATTTCCAAAACATGAAAGGTGGTTATCTCTGAGTTGCTGAAACAGGATAATATTTTTGTTAATATCTTAGGATAAATCTCTGATTTTATTTTCAATAAATAAGTACTACTATTATAGTTATGCAGAAAATGTTAGCTTAGGAAAACTTCAGCAAGATAAGACAGATTTACTCAGTAACATTTACTCTGAAGATTTTAACAAATACCCAGAGACCATATTTTTAAGTGAAATAAGGCAGACACACATGTGTAAATACCACATTGTTTCTCTGGTAGGAGAAACTCAAAATGTAAGTAAGGACCGAGGTGTATAATAGATATTGGGAAATGGGAAGAAGATGTTGAACCAAGAAGGGGATGGTGGGGGAGCAAGGAAGGAGGGACAAGAAAAGGAATAGAAAAAAATGGAAACAAAGCTTTTACAAATAAGGAGGGGAAGAAGGGCTGAAGGGGCTGAGGGTTCAAATTCCCTGTGATGAATGGTATCATTATGTATTATTTAAAATGCACCAATAAAATAAAACCATGAAAAATAAAAAAGGATTTTAAAAAATAACGATGATGGATTCTAGTAATGAAATAATATCAGTAAAGGATTTCTTTAAATGATGAAGTGTTGAAATATTAGTAATTGTCTAGGTTCTCCAATTATTTTTACTTCCACTACTGCCATAGCACCCCACCCCATCCATCATAAACACTGTTAGAATGTTCTAGAGTTTTAAATCTGATTGAAGGAAAGTAAATTGTTCATTTGTTAAGAAGAATGACTTTACAAATTTTCGATATAACTAATTTATACTAGTAGAAATTGTAGCTTAATAATTTCTAATGATTTCTTCAGAGGTACATTGGGATTCACTAAATTGATGAGAGAAATGAAAACTGAAAAGCAAAATTCCTTTAGTACCTTCAAAGCATTGTTGAAATTATCGCCAAAATTTGAAAAGCAACCATCTGATTTCTGAATACTTAGAAGCCAAATAAGAGTCTGAGACTGGACTTGGTCATCAATATAAATGTAGCGCCGAGCTTGTGCAAATGACTTGTATACAAATGCTGTAAGCCTGAAAAGAATCACATACAGGGTATGATTATAGCCAGCATTTGCAGGCAGATTCTCATCAGAATGAGTGATTTACTACAATTGCATTTCTGAATTTCACATTCTGAAAAAATTCCTTCCCTGAGTTCCAGCCTAATGTCTGATCCGTCTCTTATCCCTCCCTGTTGAACATAAAGCATTTAGTTTGCACCTCTCCTTCTCCTCCCCATTCTCATCTCTGTCCCAGGTGAAGGGATGCCCCTCTGTGATGGGGTCTCACTTTCTTTTATGTGTACTTCAAGCAACAGTGGGATTTCCCCGTGTTCCCCTTCTTAGCACATACCATTCAGAAAGGCTCTAGAAATTACCAAATATTTTAATTATAAAAATTTAACAAGGGCTGGACAAATAGCTCAACAGATTAAAGCACCTGCAAGCAGGCCCAGGGGCCAGGGGTTCCATCACCGGGCCTGTCGTACTGGCCCCCCCCCCCCAGGGTGCACTGAGGTAGGGATTGAGACTGGGTGTGGTGACTCTTGCCAGTAATTCCAGTACTTGGGAGGCTGTAAACAGGCAGATCACTACAAGTCTGACATAGTAGTGAGACCCTGAACACTCTATAGACCCTTCCTTAAAATACAAAAACAAAACAAACAACAACAAAAAAAAAACAGACAGAATTCTTTGGGCCGGCCAAATAGCTCAACAGGGTCCAGGGAAGTAGTTCAGTAGAATAAACGCTTGCCTGGCAAGTGCAAGGACATGAATTCAATCCCCAGTTCCGCAGAAAAAACTACAACAAAAACCCAATGCTGAGACAGCAATTGAGACTGAGTTTGGTGGTCCATGCCTGTAATCCCAGCTCTTGGGAGGCTATAAACAGGCGGATCACTCTGAGTCCAATCTAGTAGTGAGACCCTGAACACCCTGTAGACCCTTCCCTAAAAAAAAAAAAAAAAAAAAAAAAAAGGCCATGATGAAGCAGGTAGGGTGTGTTTCAAATCATGCAACAAGCCAAGTGCATGCTTAGATTTGTGTTCCCCTCCTTTGTAGGGCCTCCTTCTTTACAGGAAAGGGCTGAGTTAGGTTCTCTCGTGTGTGCAATGCTCTTTGCCTGTCCTCCAGGAGTGTCATGATATAGCTTCTGGAAACTGTCACTGTTTTATAAGCTCCCACAGTATTATGTGCATATTTTGTTACATTGTGTTCTGAGGTACTGTCTCATCCCTCACAATGGTGCTATAAACTTCTTGAGGTCAAGTATCACTGATTATTTCCAGACAAAGTAACAGAGAGAATAAGAGATCAGATTCTGGTACGGACACTAAAATTCTGTCACACAGCTAATAGTGAGTTTGGAAATTATTTAATATCTCTTTGTGCTAAGGGCTGAACTGTGCACTCCTCCTCAAGCATCTGGTGAAGTCCCACCATCCAGAACATGACTGTCTGTGGAGACGGGGCCTGTGAAGTGCTAATGAAGTCAACATGAGGTCACCTCCGCAGTCTCTAATCCGGTATGACTGCTGTTGTTATCAGAAAAGCAAACTTGGACAAAGATACACACAGAAAAGAGACCATGTGAAACAGGAAAAAGGTGGCCACTGCCCTGCTGAGAAGGGAGGCTCCCTAGCTAATCCTGCCAAGGCCTTGATGTTAAATTCCATGTTCCAGAATACACAGAGAAAATGTTTGTTGTTTCAGCCACCAAGTCTGTGATAGCCCTTGAAAATTAATAGTGTTTTTGTTTCCTCATTTGTAACATGGATATTATAATGTTGCCTGCTCAATTGGATTGTCAGGAGAATTAATTATATTCAGTTACAAAAGACATGATAGCTATTATTGTAAGGAGCCCATGTCATTTTGTACTTCAAGGATTTATTATTCCCAGGACATAGTGGTGAGAGAATATGTGCTTGAAAATAAAAGTTAATCCTATAAGGATAAAATTTTACAACCACTTGCATCTCAAAATCATCTTCTAGGCTTAAAATAACTGCCTATCTTTTTTTTTTTTTTGTATTTTAGGGAAGGGTCTACAGGATGTTCAAGGCCTCACTGTGTAGATTGGACTTTTCCTGTTTATAGCTTCCAGAGAGCTGGGATTACAGTCTCAATCACTGTCTCAGCGTGCTTTGGGGGCGGGGCCGGCACCACAGGCCCGAGAATTGAACCCCCAGCCTCTGCGCCTGCTTGCAGGCATTTTAATCTGCTCAGCTATTTGGCCGGCCCTAATAACTGCCTATATTTAACTATATTTTGTTTTAGTTTTTTTTTAAAACTGCTCATAGCAAATATCTATTGAATGCACTATGAATTTTTCTTATTTCTTGATAGACTCCATGTCTGTACAGCTAATGACTGCATGAATCCATGTCAGCAGAAGCAACGTTGAGCCTGTCTTTGATGGTGAGTTAGGGTGATATCAACATTTTCACTGGAATAGTTTGCTTATGCAACAAATGTGATTTCACATCCCTTATCTTTCCTTGCAGAGTTACTGTCATTTGCCTAATTATTTCCTTATGACGTGCATATTATGCTAAGTAAAAGATACAGAGTCTATAAAATTGAAATCTTACTAAGATAATGTGCTGCTTTTGTGTTGGCTTGCACATAAATAATCTGGAGAAGGTCTGAACTTTCTGTAAAACCCTGAAAAGTCTACATTAAAGGATATATTTAGAAATATTTAAGTTCTGAAATAAATGATAAAAAAATACAGACCATGTATTTTTCTGCTCATAGTTATGTCCAAAGGTGCTATATGATCCATCCTGATGCTTATAAGACATCTGCTTCTGATATCCTAGAATAGGGAAGGAGATAATTGTTTTTCAATTTAAAAATCACTGTCCAGAATAAAAAGTCACTTAATTTTTTTTTGGGCGGAACTGGGGATTGAACTCAGGCCCTTGTGCTTGCCAGGGAAACACTTATTCCACTGAGCCATCTCCCCACCCCCAAAGTCACTTAATTGTATATCTGTGTTTATTGTAAGTAGATAAGTGAATCTATACCTATAGAAAAATATGTTTATGCAGTTAAGAAGCAAAATAGCTGAGATTCAGATAATAAACAGAGTTTTGTATTTATTCCTTACCTGTGGTCAGATACCCAATAGCCTTGGATTTTATCTCTTCTGTCAGTTGTTGTGTCTGATTCAGATAGTCCAGTATATAAATATTGGAAGCGAATAGGGCCATATTCTGTTCCCCACAACCAAATGGCATTTGTAGGAAATTCTGTAAGTTGTGAGTGGCAGAACCAAGAATATCTCCTGCAAAGACAAATCCTTTTAGACTTTATGAAAATTGAGAAGATAAATATGCATTTGTGCTCATGACTTCTGTTTCATAGATATTCAGAATATTCAGGATAACCATTTTTGTATTATCAAACTCTTTTCTATTTGTTGGAGCCAAACCAGAAAATGCTGGAGATATGTTATCTAATACAGCACAGCCAGGAGCAGAAGGGCTAAGACGGAGACACCCTGGGCCAGTCATCAATCAAAGGGACAGAATTTGAGCCACACGCACTTGCAGAATGTTTACAGTATATCAGCTACTGTCCTGAGCACTTTGCCATACTAAATCACTCAGTACTTAGATCACTTATATAAATAAATACTCCTGTCATCTATAGGAAACTGAGGCATACAGAGGTTAAAAATTTTCCAATATCATTAAAACAAGATGCAACAGAATCAGGAATCAAGTTCAAATAATATGGTTCCAGAGATTCTGGACTTTCCTACTTGCTGCATACCTTCTGTCAATAACTAACACTTACCTAGTGTTATTGTGTATCTAGTGGTATAGTAGCATCTAGGTTTAATTTTTATAGCAATCCCATGAGGCAATATTACTAGGTACACATGAAGGATTAGGAAACGAGGCATGGAGGGGTTGTGCAATATGTCCGAAGTGATACAACAAGAATTAAATACAGGATTTATATATAAATGTTTAATAATCCTAAGGAACTTAGGTTAGAGTCTGGACATCAAAATTATCTCAAATATTCTTTTCTGACCGCAAAGGTATAAAGCTAAGAAATAGTAAGAGAAAGAAACTAGTATCACAAATACGTGGAAATTAAACACATATTCCTGAACAACAAATGGGTCAAAGAAGAAATCAAAGGAGAAATCAAAACCATCTTGATAGACGAAAGTGTAAACAAAACATATCAAAATTTATGGGATATAGCAAAGCAGTAAGAGTGTTAGTATTATTGAAGGAAAAACTCAAATAAACTATGTAATGTGTCACTTGAAGAAACCAAAAAAGGACAAATAGCTCAAAGTTAGAAGAAAAGAAATAAATGATCAGAATGGACATAAATAAAACAGAGTAGAAAAATTTTTAGAAGATTAACATTTTCTAAAAATTTCAGCTTTTGAAAATATAACCCAAATTGGCAAGTCCTTAGCTAAAATAAGAAAAAGACTAAAAAAAAAAATCCAATCAGAAATGAAAGGTGAAACACTGTAGTGGACTCCAGAGAAGTACCAAGGGTCATGAGAAAGAAGGATCAACAACGGCAGGCTGGGGTCTAGACGTGAACAACTCCCCAAGACCAAATCAGAATGAACAACAGTCTGCAGTCAAAAATATCCCAACCAAGAAAAATTAAAGATCAAATGACTTCACAGTAAATAAAATGTTTAAAGAATATTTTAAAATCAATACTTCTTAAACTGTTTTAAAGAGTTAAAACAATGCAAACTTCTAAATTCATTCTGTGAGGCCAGTATTACTCTCCAACTGGAGCCAGACAGGAGCACATACAATAAAACTAATCCAATAACCCGAGGGGCAGAAGTCTTCAACAAAATACAGGTAATGTTAATTCATCCAAACAGTAAATGAAAGTATTTGCAAATTAGATGACAAAAATAAAAAGGGTTAGCACAGATGTGATGGTGCATATTTGCAATGGATTTGTAGGATACACCATTGTGCTTCAAGTGGAAAGCCAGGCATTCCTTGGTTTTGTTCTTGGAAGATGCTCCTCATAGAAGACTTTTTTATTCCTGTCATGAGCACTTTTTTTGTGTGTATTTTCCCCACCACAACAACACAGGATTTGACCACAGTGCTGCATCGAGTACAGAATCCCTTCTACTGTATTCTTTAGCTCTCCAACTTAAATCTTAGCCTGTACATAGGTGATGAGGAGGGTACGAAGACAGAACATGTCAGGATTTGTGAAAATTGATAGCGACAGATCATGGAGGTAACTTTCTGAAATTGTAAGTGAGCCACAAAATAGTTTTCATATTTTCAAAAACAGGAAATAATAGGTGTACATGACTTTAAATTTTTATATGTATTTCATGTTTTATGTGTAGCTGTGTTCAGTAGCTGTTATGGAATACCTGAAGCTTTTCTAGTTGCTAGCAGATTACTAAGGCTCTAGTATAGTAGGTCTTGCAAGACAACAGTCAGGAGCTTCACGTAGCTTTGGCCGTTGATCTACAAAGACCATTAGCTTTGCACCGAGTGTTGCTTACACTTATCTGAGTACTGCGAATCTGATTAAGAGGTTTATATCTCCATTCACTCATTTAGTATGATATGCTCTAAAATGACTAGTTTCTGTGAAAATATCAGCACTTTTCTTTACCAAGGAGGTCTTGTAAGAGAAACTAGGCAGAAACAATGTCTGGACTAAACTTTATGAAAATCATCTTTAGAAAAGAGAAGAGTCAGAAAGTGAGAGTGTCTTGCAAACTCTGGTGCTGGAGTTCTTCCTGTAGCTGGTTATCCACCTCAGGGAACAAATTCTGAGAGCAGACAGGGAACCCAAAGAGATGCAGGACTGTGGCAGAAGTAGACACAACTTTTCCTTTTCCTCCAAGCCTATGTATGACTCCGTTATATGACAGTATTGTAGACTTACCAAAAACAGTGCAATAGGCCCTGAGGGAACCTTCCACAAGATTATCAGGTAATGTGAGCACTACCGATTGAGACACTGTGGATCCTGGAAAATTGAAAAATAAATAAATTAATTCAGAACTCTAATCTTTTTTAAAAATGCATTTTGTACAGTGTGTACAGGGCTCACTACACAGATCTTGTAGTGATCCTTCCTACCTTTCAGTCTCCCAAGTGCTGGGATTACAGGCGTGTGCCACCAAACCCAGTCTCATTCAACATCTCAGCATGCCCTGGGCGCAGGCCTGGCACAGCAGGTTGGGCTCGAACCCCAGCCCCTGTGTCTGCCTAAGCAGGTACTTTAATCTCCTGAGCTATCTAGCCAGCCCCAGAACTCTAATCTTAAAAGCAGAGCTTTTACTTTGGTAATAATTTATCTTCTTGATTACTAACTCAGTGTTTCCTTATTGATTATTCCAAACTGTAAAATAATCAGGAAAAGATAAAAAGCACTTCTTTAATTATAACTAATTGGATTTACTTAAAAATTTTACATGGCCAATTTTATTTTAACGTATGATAAGACTTTAGCTTTGGAAAGCACAGTACTATTTACTGTGTACTTTCAAACATGTTATTTAATTAGATATTTACAAAATAACTTATTGCATGTGTACAGACCAGACATGCCCCATGACCCCTTAGAAGAGAAGGCTCAGGCCAAAAAGAAAAGGGGGGGGGATTTGGAATGTCGCACAATTTAAAATAAGAAAACACAGAATCTGAACATAGGTTTTATGACTCCAGCATCAGTGTGCTTCTCACACTGGTGTTAAAGTGCTCCCCTACCAGAGTGTGTTCCCTTAGGTGATAAAATACTAGAAAATAAATGGAGGTGGATGGCTTCACTAACTGCAAGAGTCTTTGGTCTTTCTTTCTTTCTTTCTTTCTTTCTTTCTTTCTTTCTTTCTTTCTTTCTTTTTCTTTTTTTTTTTTTTTTTTTGTCTTTTTGCCTTTTAGGGAAGGATCTACAGGGTGTTCAGGGTCTCATTACTAGACTAGACTCATAGCAATCTGCT